CTTTTTGAATTATTTTGTTGCTTCAAAGCATCTTCAGAGCGTAAACTTTTCCTGTAAGAAGTCGATTGACTGTTGTTTGTCTCCGAATCGTTCACATCAGTTTCTACTTTCTCGATATGAATTTCAGTGTTCTTTTCTTCAGGATTTATTGAAAATAATTTGTTTAGAAACTTTTTCTCCTTTTCTTTAACACTTTCTTTAGGAGATGACTCGATGGATCCAATTCTTGTATCCGTTAGGGGCTTATTTAACTGTCGTTCAGCTGCTTGATCTTTATTTTCTTGTCTGAACGGTAAAGATTTAACTTCGACCTTTACTTTTTTTAGTGTATTTTGTGCAGACACTTTTGTCTCTAATTCTCCTAGTTCTTCTACCACTACTTTACGTGACCGCACTAAAAAAGTAAGAAGTTGTATTGGATTTTTTCAAAACAAAGGAAATCACTATAATGCTTACAAGATTTTCGTGTTAAATCCAGCTTGGGCTTCTTAGCGGCAATAGATAAATCTGAAGTAGGTAAACCAAGTTTATGTTAATTAATACAGAATCGTTTATAAATTATACTTTTCAAAATATTAAAGAAGTTAACTTTGCAACCTTTTAATTTCTTTTTTTTAGATTAATATCTCGTTGATGTAATTTCGGATGCTTATCAATAAAATATTTTTAATCTGTTATTGGTCAAAGTATTGTATTTCTTCCCCTTTAGCGATTGATATGTCAGCGATGACGTTTACGAATGTTAATTTGTGCTTATTAATCAATTAATCATTGAATCAAAGTTGATAAGTTCCTATCATTGACTTTTGCGAAAAATATCATTTTCTCTTGATTAAGTTTGAGGTCGATGTTAAGCTAGCTAATAGCCACGTTAGTGTCGTTACCTTACTTTTCTGCAAGTCAAATTTTTTCTTTTTTACTTTCTTGCATTTGCGTCATTAAAAGTATTGCAACTTGTAAACTGGACTGGTTGGAAATTTTGGTAGATTTCGTTTAAAGGTCGTTGGTAGCACGTGAAAATTATATGAATTCGTGAAGTCTAAGTCCTTATTGAGTGAAGTGTTCTCTACTCTTTCCCTACTCAAACACTTAACTTTATGGAGTTCTCTTACCATCTTTACCAGTTTCAATATTAGGTGAACGTAGGTTGCGTTTATTTTGTACTAAACTGACTACAGGTGATGAAAATATTATCGGGACTTCTTCTTGCTTAGAAGTTTTGGCACCTTTCTTTTGAACTTGCGGTTCTTTAAACAATCTCTTCGCATCATCTGTAAAACGAAAATTGATTAAGATGCAAAATCCAAGTCCGCTTAAAAAAAATATATAAAAATATTAACCTTTTTCAACGAAAGGAGATTCCGCGCCTCGTTTTCTCAACGTACGTCTGAGATAAATTTCACTGACGCTTGGAGTCGCGGCACGTCTCGTATCACTATTTTGACTCGATGTCGAGTTGGTCGGTGATGATAGATATTTATGAGTATTTAAGTACTTCGATAAATCATCAGAAGACTTATTTTGTTCTTCGGACGCCGGTAATGGATTGTTTGTTTCTGAACAAGTATCTTTGGTTTTCGATACTTTCGAAGCTTCCATTGCAAGAGTAGCCGATTTATCATTAACTGGAGAAGCTTTAGGGAGCTCTTCTTGTCTAGCTTTTTGATCCCCTTTGGATCTATCCCTTAAAATACGAGGTGCCTTCGACGAGGCTTCATCCAAAACGTCGGAGTTGTTGTCTTTAGATAACGACTTCCGAACGGCTTGACAATTATTAGGCGATGATCTGGAAACGATCGTTAACTTATCAGATGATAGCTTTCGCATTGCTGTGGCATTATCGGGTGGCGACTTTTGTAGCGTCGTAGAAAAGTTTGGTTTTTTATCATTAGCTTCTTCGGAAGTGTCGTTCGGGTTATGTAAAATAGCCTTTTCTTTTCCATCATGAACTGATTTTTCGACCGTATTGGATTTTATCGTTTTTTCCTTAATCTTTTCCTTAATTTTGGTGTTGTGGACTATAGCTGAATCTTTCACCGTTTCCTCCGGTTTTTCAACGAGCTTCTCTGCAGTTTTTTCTTCAAATTTAAAATTGGGAGCAGTCTTCTGCTTACTTACATCAGTCTCTTTCGTCTTTTCTGATAGTTTTTCAATTGTATTGGGTTTTGTGATTTTTCTCTTTTCAATCTTTTCTTCATTATCTGTAGACGCAGTAAATGTTCTTTTTCCTGAACTAATTTCTCGCTCCTTCGTGTTTGACTCCTCAATATTACTGGACTTAGGCACTCGTTTCTCTATTGCTTTACTGTCACTCTTGCCACTGCAACTGTCCTCTTCTTTACTAATGCTTTTTCCTTTTGATTTTTCGTTTGTTTTGTTCTCGTTAGCGTTTGATTTTACAGCTTGTAGCGTCTCTTTTTCTACTCTTGTTAGTGATCTAGGTTCTGAAGTTGTGGTCGATTTTGTTGTTACAGATTTTATTTTCGGTGGCGAGAAAATTTCCTTCAAACTTCCCCTAAAGTGCGCCGTTATTTCTTTCGGAGAATTTAGTAGTACTTTATCATCTCGCGAATCTCTGGACGAGTCTCTACTTGATCTAGACGTCTTTTGCTTCTCAGAGCATTTCGAATCAAGGGACGACTCGCGCGACAAACTTTTCGTTTTGCAGACGTCTTTATTGCTCTTTGCTGTTGAGTCCTTGCTCTCAGTCAAATCTTTTGATATCAGATTGCTTTTACTTCCTCTGAGGTCTGTTACAGAAGCGTTGTCCAACTTTTCTTTCGAAGATGTTCTCGCCAACATACACGTATCATTTGCTGCCTTTCCATCTTTAATTTCCTTCGCTAATTCTCGTGAACTGCGAAAGTCCTTAGGGGATTTTATTTCTTTATTTTTGAAATTATATTTTTGTTGTGTACTTGCAGATATGGATGTTTCAGTCATTAATTTAATATCTTTACGATCGTTTGGTAAATCTCGAACATCGCAGGAGTCCTTAGATGACCTTGTTTCATTATCTCTAAGATTGGTTCTTTGTTTTGTAGTTATACTGGTAGGCGAGAACATTTCTTTTACTATTTTACTATCTTTACGTTCTTTCGAGGATTCTCGTGAACTGCAGGAATCTTTGGAAGATCTTGTGTCTTTGTTTTTAACATGTGTGTTAGTGGGCGAGAAAATTTCTATGGTGTCTCTGCCATTCTTATGTTCTTTCGACGATTCTCGTGAGCTGCAGGAGTCCTTAGCAGATGCCGTTTCTTTACTCTTGAAAATCGATTTTAGTCTTGAAGGTGTACTTGTACCACTGGACATATCCTTTGTTGATTTACTATATCTTCGTTCTTTTAAAGGTTCTTGTGAGTTAAAAGAATCGCCAAAGGAGCTTGCTTCTTTTGTTGGCTTACCATCTTTACGTTCTTTAAATGATTCTCTTAAGCTACAGGACTCCTTGAAATCAGGTTTTTGTTTTGAAGACGTACTTACAGGAGAGGACATTTGTTTTATCAACTTGATTTCTTTACGATCTTTCGAAGATTCTCGTGAGCTGCTAGAGTCCATAGGATCCTTTCTTTCATTATCCTTGAAATTTGGTTTTTGTTTCGAAGGTGTACTTGGAGGACTGCACGCTCCTGTACTTAATTTAATCTCTTTCCGATCTTTTGAGCCTTCTGTTGAACTTCTCGAATCTTTAGAATGTTTTAGATCTTTTGAGTTTCTCGTATCGTCTTTTCTTGACACATCAGTGGTTGTCCTAATATCAGCCTTGGTTTCTTTTACATTTGCAGGATTTATTAAATTTAAATTGGTTTCGTTCTCGGCGACATTTTTGCTTTTCTTGAAATCAGTTACTCCTACGCTACTATTTTTTTCATCTTCTAAGTTTATGTCCCTTATAAGTTTTTCATCATTTTTTTTCTTTAAATTAGGGATCTCACTTTTACCCATTTTCACATTAGGTTTATTCTCCTGAAGAGCTGAAGGTTTGTGTTCCGGAGAATTTGTAACAATTCCTTTACTATCATTTGTCGATTGCTTGTCCCTTCTCGTTGGCGTTCTACGAGAATCACTAAACGCAGAGCTTTTAGAGTCTCTTGCAATTGACGAGGGAGATCTTCCAAAGTCTTTTTTGTCAGACTTTATTTTAGATTCTACTGGTAATACTTTATTTGCCTCTTTAGAATGTCTCACGCTTTTTGAATCGTATATGTTTTCGAATTTTGCATCCACATTCTTATCATGAGAAATTTTTTCGGAATGTACAACAGCTGGAGGGTCCGTAGGACGTACTGGACTACCTTTCTGTGCCTTATTTTTAAACTTGTCTGTAGTTTCGCATTGTTCAGAGGGTTGACATTTTTCGATATCTTTTTCCCTAGACATTCCTTGAGGTTCCATATGCGTTTCTTTAGGCATATCTAGTTTTACTCCCATTTGTTCTTTTTTGTATTCACTTCTTTCGTCATTCTTCTGCCTTTCTATTTTGTTTTTTAGTGATGATTGATTGCCATCTAAATCTTCATCAAAGCCTTCAAAACCTTTAAAATCATTTAAAGTATCTTTCAACTCATCCTCACTAGTAGGCACCTCTGGAGTTCTTAAATTTCTGAATCGCTTCTTGCGACTGCGTGCTTTCGGCGATTTCTCAGTTTCAGAAATGTCTAGTTTCGATTGTTCAATTATCGCTTGTAAATCATTAAGTTCTGCTTCAATGTTTTCGTTTTCCGTCGAAATATTTTTTTCCTCTTTCGTGGGACATTCCCCTTCCAAATTTTTAGTGGGAATATTAGGCGTGGCTGAGCAAGTAACACTAGAGTGTTGATTTTTGAAAATTTTCTTTTCATCGCTTTCAATGCTGATGGATTTAAAATTCTCGATTGGGGAAGTTTCTACTTTTTCATTTGAAAGTAATATTGATGTTCTTAGGCGTTCCGTTGTTTCTCCTTCTGGAATTACATTTTTTTTCTCCGACTTTGTTGTAATATTTT